GGGGGGGTTGCCCGGCTAACGGGGGGTTGCCCGGCTAACGGGGGGGTTGCCCCGGGGAAACGTGCTGTGCTGCCGCAACGGGCTGCCGCAACGGGCTGCCGGGTCAGGTTAAGTTGCTTACTTGACATTTGTCATTGTCAGATCCTTTTCGATTGCCCCATCGCTCCGTTGCAGCTCATGTTTGTAGTTGAGGTAGCGCACTTCTCTGATCCTCGTTCCCAGGATCTCTACGAGCGGGTTGAAAACTTCCAACGTCCGCCGCTGCGACAAAGCCAGCCCCAGAAACACCGGCTTTCCAGTGTGCCTAAGTCGCCAGGCGAGATTCCGCATGGCCGCTGAGTTGTGGCCGCCGTCGACGTAGACACCGGGCAGTGCCTCCTCCGCGCGGCCTGGAGGCATCACCGGGCTCAAAGGCAGGCTCAAGATGTCGCGTCCTAATTTTTCGCAGACGTGTTTGGCGACGGTGGCGGCAATGAGGCCATTCACCTTCACAATTGCGCCACTCCCTAGTGGCCCAAGACCGAGCGATCTAGGTGTCGGCCCTCCGGTGCCGGACCCGGGAGATGTCTGACTAGCCCCCAGAGGTCTCGGTCCGGTCGTTCCAGAGGCCGGTGGGACTCTTGGAGGTCCAGATTTTTCGTAGTCATGGCTCCATTCTGCGGGTTCCGGATAATTAGCGTCCAGGTAGCCGATGTCATCTAGAATTTCTCGCCGCACGCAATGCAGGGAAGCTCCTACCGAGAGGGCTGTGTTCTGAATGGCTTCTAGGGCTTCTGGTTTTATCCCTGGACCGACCACAGCGAGACAGTTTGGCTTGAAGATACCCGCCTTCTCTCTGGCAATGTGGGAAAGCGTGGGGCCCAGGTACTCCACGTGGTCTAGATCCACACTTGTTATTACTGTACATAAAGGCCTCTCTATCACGTTGGTTGCATCTAACCGGCCGCCTATTCCCACCTCGATCACCGCCACCCGAACTCCCTTAAACAGAAACCATAGAAACGCAATCAAAGTACAGGTCTGAAAGAAACGAAGACGCTCACTCCCTTCCGCCATAACTTCATCAATCACCCGCACCACCGCCAGCAACTCGAGCCGGGAGATCTTCTCCCCATCCACACGAAAGCGCTCTCTAACTAGATAACACGTTTATTCCCGGGTGGTCTATTCCTGTGTGGTTTATTTCTTTCAAGGTAATTCCCGGGAAGTAATTGCGCCCCTCAACGGGTGGGAAGAGGGGGGGGGAATATCCCCAACGGAACTCCCAGGATGGAATACTTGTGAATGTGTATTACTGCTGAATATATGAGGACTTGTAAATAGCCCGACCGGTGAGAGCCCGTTCGCTGCCAGCAAATCGGCCGTTTTGTAACAGACAGTTCCTTTGCCGTTTGTTCCGGTAACGTGCACATTGCCGTATGTGTTTTGCGGGTCTCCGAATTGATCTCGAATGATTGTCTGGATTCTTTCAAAATCCGTCTCTTTCGCACGTCTGTGTTCAAGGTCCTGAACGCAAGCTCGATATAGACGTTCGCCTTCATCGGGCTGCTCCAGTTGTAGTCGATACAACTCCTTCCAAACTCCATATCGCTGAGCCAATCTCTCATGAACCGTCAATGCCGGCCCCTTACGGCGACCCAAGCTCGTCGTCGTGCTGTACTCATCACCCGATTCCCACCCGGCCACCCTCCGTTTTTTCCAGGACATATCTGAAAATTATCGGAAATTAACGCCATCAAAAATAACTACCAAGCACTACCACAACACCCAAGACAAAACTACCCAAGAAAACCGATCTATACATAATGGATTAAACGAGAAGTCGGCATGCTTTGTATGCCCGGATATTTTGATCATGCCAGGGCCATAAAAACTAGATTAAGGGCGAGGTAGCGGTCGAGTCTTATCATATATCTACGCGGATGATACATGTAGAGAATGGGAGAGGCTAGTTGAGGATAACCCCGGTTTGATGGGGAGTACTCGATCGGATTTCTCTCTATCTGACGGGAATGAAATACGTCGGAGCTTCAGTCCCCCAAACAGAGAATTAGCACTCGTGTAATTCAAGATGATCAGAGAGTGTCGTTTCTTTTTTGATTTGGGAAGCAGCAATGGAGACGTTCATGTTTCTTTCGATTCTGAGTATATTCCGTAATCGCAGGTCGTGATAGGTCGGAACGTTCTGGAGGAAGCCGTGTCGGGTCAGTATCTGAAATTGGCCCGTTCTGAAGGAAGTTGTGTCAGGTCAGCATCTGAAATTGGGACCTCTTCGTCAAGCGTGTGAATGTGAGGGGCAGTCTCTGCTTCTGTTTTATAAAATGAGTCGGTTTCTCGCAGGGTTTCGTTCGAAATTGCCTCAGAG